TATAACTTACATATGATAAAAAATAATTGTTTCTTATTTTTTAAATTAAATTGCACCCTTAGTTATAAAAACTCATTTTAATACAAAATTACCAAACTTGCGTAATTAACAAGTGAAATTGCCAAACCAACCCCCGGCCCCCCCATATCAAAATTGGACCATGTACAAGATTTTAGAAAGAGGGGTAAGGGGGAAAAAGAAAAAAAGAAAAGAAAAATCAACCCCGGTGAATATTTAACCCAACAAAGTCAATTCCATAAGGCTAGCAAATGGCTGGATTGGGTTGTTTAGGTCAAAAAAGTGACAGGTAAAAAAAGACTAATCCCAATCCATCCATCATAAGTTACAGGTTGTCTTCTAGATTATCGAAAGTTGAATTTTTTTTTTCTTTGTAATTATCTGAAACAAGTGATCTATTCAAGTAATATATTAGTAGAAACCATTAACATTTCATTATTTAGCACTTCAAAAAAGATTATTTACACTATAATAAAAGATAATTTCAATTAGTTATCCAATCAGGCATATAGACAGAAGAGCAAACAGTTAGGCATCATTACTTTTTTTTTAAAAAAAAAAGAAGAAAAAAAGGCGTCATTACACAAGAGAGCAGGTTATTGAGCAAAACATTCAACAGATTCATCCACTGGTCAAGCAATAGGCTTTAAAATTTGAAATGAACAAATTTAAATTGTGGAACTTAGAAATATACCTTTCAAACAACGATGTTTAGAAAGAGCTACTGCCTAGAAGAATAAAAGTCCATAATTGCTGCAAAATTTTCAGACTTGAGAAGATCTCAAAGGAAAACGAAATCTAGATTGTATGTGCCATATTAGCCGAATTATTTACATCATATTAAACACATTACAACCCCATCAGGATTTAAAATAGAAAAAGTAAAATTGAGGAAGCAAAGGGAGAAGGATTGAGAGACAGGAATGATGGTTCGACGGACCAACGGTGGAATAGATCTTGTATGATCAGAGACAAATTAGAGGAAGGAAAGGTCGCGGGGTCATGGTTGTGGCTGACTAGTGACTAAGATTTGTTACGACGATAGAGAAATTAGAGAATGGAGTCTAGAAGAGGAAGAGTGAAAAATGGGAAATAAAATAAATAAAACTTTTAAAATTAAATAGAGGGGCCAACGGGTTACCCTGTTAACTCGCTGAATAAACTCGTTATTGAGCCATAACCTACAAGGTATCCATAAACGGGTTTAATTCTATTAATGGATCATTAACGAGTTACGGATCAAAAATGACAGACCTTAACTGGCTTTAACTGACACAACAGACAACAGGCGAGTTAACGGGTTAGATCAAAAATTGGCAGGGTTAATTCCGAATTTCAGTGAATCATCGTTGCACGAGGGTAACATTGGAATTTCAACTAGTCTTGCTGTTCTTAATTGTCCTCCACTGCTCTGCAACGTCTCGAGCTATCTTAACGGCATCAGACGCCGTCCCTAGGAGTCCTCTTCTCGTAAACCCAACCGTATACAGTCCGTTCTCCACTTTCCAACCGTTAGGAAACGGCGTTTTTGGCATCCCGTCCTCGGTGAAAAAATCGCATCCCTGTGAATCAAAACGACACCGTTCAATTTTTGAACATGAATGCCAACTGATTTTTTTTTTTTTCACACATGAAATTTACATCTTTGTTTGGATTGAATCATGAAGGAAAAGAAAAGAATAAGAATCCCTTATTTTACCCTTTTTTTTTTTTTTTTGATCA